AAAACTGAAATATTCCATAATAAAAATGAAAATAAATTTTCTTCATTTCATTCACATCCATAATAGAATCAGAATGGGTCTTGTGACGTCAGCTGCGTCCGGATAAATGGACGACTCTGGGTGTCCGGTTGATCCAATATTTACCCCTCTGTTCCGGCCGCAGCAAGAGTAGGGGATGGGGGGGTAGGGGCGGGGTAGGTAGTAGAGTTTATTGAACAGTCTATTACCGGGCCCCTTTGATACATAATTGAGACATTATGCTTCCATTAGAGCTATTATCAAGGGCTCTCTCTCTCTCTCCCGCCCGAACGGTGGCGGCGGCGGCGGGAAGGGATTCGGACGAGTTTGTTTATATCGTCAGTCTGAAGGAGCGTTCAAGTATGGATGAAGAAATTAGGATTTTCTTGCACTCTGTTTTTCTCCTATATTTTGTGTCTAATTGCGTTAGGTTTATTAATGATTTATTTCTACTGTTATTGTTAAGCTCTTTGGCTGCTCGTAATAGTTTTTTAAAATGTTTGTGGCGTCAATTTTTTGGGTTTTATGAACTGGAACTCTGTTTTGAAATGTTTTGTTTGATGCTAACGCGTCCTATTTAGAGGCTATATGGCCGATTTTTTTTGCAATTTTGTGGATGTATATATAAATATATTTACGCGTGTGTATGTATATCTATATTTATTACAGAGATTGTGTGTGTCTGGGGGGCCACATCCAACTTTTCAAGATGACACATGTGTGGTATGTGACTGTCATAGTCTGATTTGCCGAAGCGTTGCAGGAAATGCTTTGCGTAATCGTGACTTGATTTGTTTGTGTAACTTCTGTCCCCCACAATTGTACATTACTCTTAAGGTCTTTGTACACGCATTCTTTTGAATTTGATCGGGGTAAGCCGCATTGCCATAAAGAAAGATCAGCCTTCCTTTAAGGGAATTTTTTTCCCACAGAATTTTTGTGTTATTTATTGTCTTTTACATTTTCTGAGACAAAGAAAGGCAAAAACACACAGAAATCACAATAGCGTGATGCATCAAATGTCTCGGAGAGGCTGCAGGATCCAAGTAAATTCTGTAGAATTTCTGGTTGCAATTCTTTTTACCATGTCGTAGCTCAGTCGATTAAGGCAGCGTCTGGGATGCTCTCGGACGTAGGTTCGAATCCTCGTCACGGCCCTTGTGGATTTGTTCAAAGGCAGAAACAGACATAGAGAATACAGGGAAAGGAAGAGTGTGACCCAGTTAACGTATCGAAAGTATCGTTTTCAAAACGTTTTTAAAACGACATTGTTTTGTTTTATTCATGTTTTGTACTACATTTCGGACATGTTTTTTGAGCATTTGTAAAACCATTTTGTTAATGTTATGATATAACATTTTGGAGGAAATGTTTTTAACATGTTAATGCTAATTATTTAATTATTGGCATTATTAGGTATAATCTTCATTGAATTGAGATGAAAAAGAGGGAGAGAAATGAGAAACAGACAGGCAGAGACAAAGAAAGAGGGAGAGGAGGTTGAGAGAGAGAGAAGAGAGACACACATAGAAGGAAACAAAGCGAGTCAGACAGACAGAGAGCTGGAGACCTGGAGAGAGAGAGTTAAGAGTGAGAGAAAGAATGGAGAGAAAGTGTGAGAAAAAGGGAGAGGTGGAAGGGGGGGGGGGAGAAGGGACAGAGGAGAGAAAGAAGAAACATTGCATTGCACTATTATGTATACTACCCAAGTATGCTACACCTGTACCCCTCGCAGGTGTGTACTGCACAATCGCTACCACACCACCGTGCTCACTGAGCACAATTTAACCCATAAATTGCCTACATTATTAAGAAACACAAAAATGGGATTGTACATATCTTGACCAAATGTACACGCGAGGAGTTATTAATTAACTCTATTATCTTTAATCACTCGCTCCTCGTTGGGTTCAGTCAACCGCGATCAGAATACCAATTCCTCAGGCCTGATACAGGGTATATATATTTTATCGTGGTCCCCCCCTGTTACTTCTCCCGTTTTCTGTTTACGAACAATATTTGGCCATCATCTCAGTGTTTGGAGGGGGAGACGTAAATCACCACGCCGTACGCCATTCTGTAAGCATTCCATCAGCTGCTGTGACAAACAGCTGAGCAGGCTAATGGTAGAACTACCCGCTAATTACGTGCCGCGCAGGGAATTGATTAAAAGGTGGTTAGTGTGTGTGTGTGTGTGTGAGTGTGTGTGTACTCACCTATTTGTGGTTGTGGGGGGTTGAGCTTTGGCTCTTTGGTCAGAGTGTGTGTGTGTGTGTGTGTGTGTGTGTGTGTGTGTGTGTGTGTGTGTGTGTGTGTGTGTGTATGTGTGTGTGTGTGCTCACCTAGTTGTACTTGTGGGGGTTGAGCTTTGGCTCTTTGGTCAGAGTGTGTGTGTGTGTGTGTTGGTCAGAGTGTGTGTGTGTGTGTGTGTGTGTGTGTGTGTGTGTGTGTGTGTGTATGTGTGTGTGTGTGCTCACCTAGTTGTACTTGTGGGGGTTGAGCTTTGGCTCTTTGGTCAGAGTGTGTGTGTGTGTGTGTGTGTGTTGGTCAGAGTGTGTGTGTGTGTTGGTCAGAGTGTGTGTGTGTGTTGGTCAGAGTGTGTGTGTGTGTGTGTGTGTGCGCGCGCGCGTGCGTACGTGCGTGCACGACACTCTTTGAATTACAAGCCTATAACATCCTGAAATTTATCGGGTCGGAATTTACTCTTGATAATAGTCTTTGAATACACGAACGTAAATATTTGAATGCAACATACGAGCCGATATACAAAGTGTGATATATCTTAGTGTAAATATACTAAATTGTATTTAATTTAGCTTTATAAAATTGCCAAATTTATAAAGGATTCGTATATTTAACTTTTTTGTAGAAATGTTTTGAAGGTAATTATTCTCAGATTACAGCTAAGTTTTTATATAAAAAAGTGCTATAAGTGTTTTTTTTTTTTAGTCTACTAAATGCTAATTAAACGGTGGTTGAACTTGAGGTAAACCACAATAATTTGTTCAGTAAAAGTGCTTAGAATTTGGTTTCAAATACTAGGAGGAGATATCTTAGCAGTGTAAACCGTTGAGTTTACTGTCAACAGGAGAATTGTTGAGGTAAACTCCCCTGAGTCCTCGACGTAAGAGGGAAATCATATTTGTAAACTCATAACAAGTTTACAAGTACTTGTAAACACACACTGCATTTCTCACACTTTTTCTTGTACACTCTTGTCTTTCTCACACTTAGTCTACAGTATACTACATATGGTATATGTTTTTTTTATCAAATATACTTGTTCTCCTTCAGTAATAAAAGTGATGACACACTTTCATAGAATTCTACATTTTATCCACATTTAAAAGTTCGCGAAAATCTACGACATTTTGTCTGATAAATCACACAGCTCTTGTAAACTCTATGCTCTTGTAGACTTGTAAGCTTGTCGACTTGTGAACTTGCGAGCGCTTTGTCATGGGTTCGTATCCTGGCCGGGGAGGATTTACTGGGCGCAAATCCTTAACTGTAGCCCCCTGTTTAACTCAACAGAAAAAATGTGTACTTGGTTGTAACAACGATTCTTCGCGGCGGGGATCGTATTCCAGGGACCTGCCCGAAACGCTACGCGTACTAGTGGCTGTACAAGAATGTAACAACTCTTGTATATATCTCAAAAAAAAATAGATTTGCTCACATCCTTTAATTGTATCATGTAGATTAATGTAGCAGCCCAAAATTATTTTAATAACTTGTATTTTCATTCAAGATGTTGAATGATGTTGAATACAGTAACTTGTATTTTCATTCAAGTTAGCGTGATTGAATGCTTGGAAACTAAGGCATCAAGCTGATACTAAACTTTGCAATTGACCAATCATAGGCTCCCCGGTCACTCGCTCCACCAATCAGGACATGTCAGCGTATTTGTGGCCAACAATTGGGACTTCTCCGGAGGGGTGCTGACGTCGCTGCATGGGTAACTACTTTATCGACGACGACACGGAGAGGATGTTGGTGATCTGTGATGCTGAGAGCAGCAGTAAGAGGAAGGGGGGGGGGGGACCGTCATGGGTTTAAAGCTTTAGGGAACTAGATTGCACTTCTGACGATTCTAGACGCTGTTAGTGGCCTCTTTAAAGAGTCGTTATCTTAGGAGACGTCGTTTCTAGGAGTCGTTGTATCTAGGAGTCGTTGTATCTAGGGGTCGTTGTATCTAGGAGTCGTTGTATCTAGGAGTCGTTGTATCTAGGAGTCGTTGTATCTAGGAGTCGTTGTATCTAGGAGTCGTTGTATCTAGGAGTCGTTGTGTCTAGGAGTCGTTGTGTCTAGGAGTCGTTGTATCTAGGAGTCGTTGTGTCTAGGAGTGCCTCACCCTCCCCCCACCCCTTCTGAGGTGCGACAGTGCCAAAGTGCCCCTTAAACGCGAATGTTAATGAGGAACAGCTTGGGGCACTTACCAGATTGATGAACTGTTCCACTTTGTTCTTTGGCCTCCTTGCAGCCACTTACCTGGCATAGCTAGGCCACAGTACGTGCACTGGTTATCTACACGTGCACTGGTTCTCTGCACGTGCACTGGTTATCCGTACGTGCACTGGTTATCCGTACGTGCACCAGTTATCCATGTGTGTGTAGCATTTGATTGTATGCACACCTGTTATCCATACATGTGCCTTTTGTCTACACATGCGCTGGTTCTAAGTACGTGCGCTTGTTTCCGTACGCAAGTACGCTCTAGAGACAGCTAGACAGTTACCTATCGTTACTGGACAGTTGTGACCTGTGCCTTGCAGGAACACTTGTTCGTTATCTACCCGAAAGTTACCCAAGTGCAAATCCGTCCCCATGATCCACTCGCGTATATTTCATCTAGTACTCGGGTATATTTGTCCTCGGCTAGATGTACTCAGCCAGATGCAGTGAGCTAGATAATGTTCAGCTAGATTCACTCACTATCGGCTAGTGAACGGATCTATCGGCTGGATAGATCTATCGGCATGATAGATGGGGTGTACGTGGCTAATCTTTTCAAGATGTATGTAATTGAATGAATTCTTTCTCGGTTTCAGGCGAGGAGTCACACTAACGAAGCTGAAGTATGTTGACCAGACCACACACTAGAAGGTGAAGGAACGACGGCGTTCCGGTCCGTCCTGGACCATTCTCAAGTTGATTAGGACTTGAGAACATTAATTGAGATTGGGACACAATGAGAATGGTCTAGGACGTACCGAAACGTCGTCGTCCCTTCACCTTCTAGTGTATGGTCTCTCTCTCGATTATTTCCCATCATATTTGCATGTAGAATTGCGCTTCGAGCTGTAGGTTGAACTATTTCCTCGACTAACTAAATTTCAGTTGATTGGAAACCCAATCTACAACAGCTGGATATATAGGAAATGGACACGTTTCCAGTCCATCCTTGATTGAAATAGAGGCCCCGTCTCTATCTTAGTGTCTAGGTGGGTGAGTTGGGTGTCTGATTTTCAGATGGGTGAGTTTGGTGTCTGATTTCCAGTCACGCTATTCTGACTTCCTGCTCAGCAAGATGTTCATATTTCTTGCAGACACTAAAGTTATTTTTATTTAAATCTCTTTTCTGAGTGCCTCGAATCTCTTAAGTTCCCCCTCTCAGTGTTCACCATCTTGGTGTTCATTTTGAACATCAATCCCGTTCATATTCATTGATGTCATTCGATCTAAAGCGGCGATATGAATGGATTCGGACTTTGGAACATCACTATAATTCCTCCACGTTGCAAAACGTTGCAATAATTCCACCAAACTTTAAATTGTCGCTATAATTTCTCTAAAATGATCTTGAAAGTTGCTATAATTTCTCTAAAAGATCTTGAACGTCGCTATAATTCCTCTAAAAGGTCTTGAACGTCGCTATAATTCTTTTAAAAGATCTTGAACGTCGCTATAATCCCTCTAAGAGATCTTCAACGTCGCTATAATCCCTCTAAAAGATCTTGAATGTCGCTATAATCCCTCTAAGAGATCTTGAACGTCGCTATAATCCCTCTAAAAGATCTTGGACGTCGCTATAATTCTTTTAAAAGATCTTGAACGTCGCTATAATCCCTCTAAGAGATATTGAATGTCGCTATAATCCCTCTAAGAGATCTTGAACGTCGCTATAATCCCTCTAAAAGATCTTGGACGTCGCTATAATTCTTTTAAAAGATCTTGAACGTCGCTATAATCCCTCTAAAAGATCTTGGACGTCGCTATAATTCTTTTAAAAGATCTTGAACGTCGCTATAATCCCTCTAAGAGATATTGAACGTCGCTATAATTCCTCTAAAATGATCTTGAACGTCGCTATAATTCCTCTAAAAAAATTTGAACGTCGATATAATTCTTCTAAAAGATCTTGAACGTCGCTATAATCTCTCCAAAAAGATCTTGAACGTCGCTATAATCCCTCCAGAAAGATCTTGAACGTCGCTATAACCCCTCCAAACAGATCTTGAACGTCGCTATAATCCCTCCAAAAAGATCTTGAACGTCGCTATAATCCCTCCAAACAGATCTTGAACGTCGCTATAATCCCTCTAAGAGATCTTGAACGTCGCTATAATCCCTCCAAACAGATCTTTAACGTCGCTATAATTCTTCTAAGAGGTCTTGAACGTCGCTATAATCCCTCCAAACAGATCTTGAACGTCGCTATAATCCCTCCAAAAGATCTTGAACGTCGCTATAATTCTTTTAAAAGATCTTGAACGTCGCTATAATCCCTCCAAACAGATCTTGAACGTCGCTATAATCCCTCCAAACAAAGGCAAACATTGCCCTTGTTATACAAACAGTCGTAACATAATTTTGTTAGAGTTATTAATCATCTTGCAGCCTGAATTGTGTGGCCTTATTGCCCCGTTGTGATTGCTATTGCAAATATGTTGCATATATTATGTAAAGGGTCTCTCAAGGTGATGAATGACGTCTTTAAGGGGTGTTGGGGTGGGCGTGTGGGGGGAGGGGAGGGCTGGGGTTGGGGGGGGGGGAAAGGGGGTTGTGGTGAAGGGGATTGCACTCTCTTTCTCCTCTTCTCTTATTCCTTCTCCTTCTTCCTCTTTTCCATTGTTACTTTTCTTCCTCTCTCCTCTTCTGTTCCATGTCATTTTTTTGCTTCCCTTCTGATTCTCTTTCGCCTGGTCCTCCTGTTCACCTGGTGTCCGGTCACACTGCTTGTGACGCAGACGGGGTCCTTTCTGACCTGTCGAACGCTTAATGCGAGGCGTGCTGGCCGTACTTTGATTCACCTGGCGTGCACTTTGGGCCCGTGCACGCCCTCTCCTGTGACTCTACACGGATAGTTCCTACTTTCGTGCCCCTCTACACGCGTAGTTCCTACTTTCGTGCTCCTCTACACGCGTAGTTCCTACTTTCGTGCTCCTCTACACGGGTAGTTCCTACTTTCGTGCTACTCTACACGGGTAGTTCCTACTTTCGTGCTCCTCTACACGGGTAGTTCCTACTTTCGTGCTCCTCTACACGCGTAGTTTGCTACCTCCTTGTTGCTCCTTTTGGGCTGCTGTTTGCTACTTTAACCCAACAACTCACTCCTGCCTCGTTCGATATCGCTTCCACCTGCTGAGAAGCCGTCAGTGGACTTGATTCCATTGCCTAATATATTGCACGATTTATCAGCCGTCTCCCACATCCTATGTAACGTCTCTCTTACTCTTTGCCTAGCAATGGTGTCCAACCTCTTGGGGTAGGGGGCCATTGGGGGATTGAACGCCGGCCTGCAAGAAGCGTGGACTGTCGGGCAAAGTGGAAATACGTTTCGACGTCTCAATCATCGTGTTCTTAATTGTTTGTGGTTCTTCAGTCTTTTGTCTACCACTTACCTTGAGGTTACCTTGAGGTGCTTCCGGGGCTTAGCGTCCCCGCGGCCCGGTCGTCGACCAGGCCTCCTGGTTGCCGGACTGATCAACCAGGCTGTTGGACGCGGCTGCTCGCAGCCTGACGTACGAGTCACAGCCTGGTTGATCAGGTATAGGCACTTTGCTGATTTCTTGGTGGATATCCTGATGTCTCTGGTGTATGTCCTTGTTTATATCGTTCTCTGATTTCCTGGACTCCATCAGGAGATCTCACGTTGCTTCTGTAGCCTATCAGGTGCTGATCTGAGTGGGGTCCGTTCTGGGGGAGGAAGCGAGGTTACGACTCGTCTATATGCCATTATAGATCACTGTATAATGAACAAGTATTCCTGCGAAGGTAATAAGCAGGTCACTATATATATATATATATATATATATATATATATATATATATATATATATATATATATATATATATCACAGTTAGGTTGTTTATTCTTGGTGCGGTATTTACTCTGAGTTCAATTGTTATTGTGTTTATATTATATAAATTTGGTCAGCTTTTCTCTCTCTCTCTCTCTCTCTCTCTCTCTCTCTCTCTCTCTCTCTCTCTCTCGAGCCGCTAAACGTAATGCTAAAACTTTCCAAACACAAGCTCCTCCCCCCCCCCACCCACCCCCACCCCCCACCCACCCTAACCCCCAACCCTCCCCCCCACCACACACACTTGTAATTGTGAGTGTTACTTGGTCTTAATTCTGGCTTCCGTTGCTGACATTTATTAATTTCTTGTGCATCGATTCGCTTTTAAATATTAAATTGGCCCGTCTGCATCTACACAACACCAACTCTCCAGTATATGCACACACACACACACACGCACACACACACACACACACACACACACACACACACACACACACACACACACACACACACACACACACACACACAGGAACCTGTACACCTGTTAATTGACGGTTGAGAGGCGGGACCAAAGAGCCAGAGCTCAACCCCCGCAAGCACAACTAGGTGAGTACACACGCACACACACACGGCGCTCGGGGGAATCGTAGTCCTAAATAGTGCCCGGGTTCGAATCCCAGTCGAGGCAGAAACAAATGGGCAAAGTTTCTTTCACACGATGCCCCCCCCCCTTACAGAAGAAAAATCACTCTGGAGTCATAACATACGACAACCGACGGTTAGAAAGGCGGGGTCCAAGAGCTAAGCATCGAGCGAACAGATGTCTTTGTTAATGTCGCTGAGCTTGTGTCGTGTAAGCCCTCAGCTGGACGACAAATACAACAACAACAGCAAAGCCACGCGTCGTGTTGTATTTCCTGTGTGTTTGTTGTTGTTGTTTAAGATTCAGCTACTGGGAACAAAAAGTTCCAAGTAGCACGGGCTATGGTGAGCCCGTAGTGGACTTACCTGGCACAGGAGCGAGGCTGTAACTGGTCTTCCTGTGTTGTGTTCCGGAGGGCAGCACCAATGTAAGGACGCCCCCTTTAGAGGGCAGCACCAATGAAAGGACGCCCCCTATAGAGGGCAGCACCAATGAAAGGACGCCCCCTATAGAGGGCAGCACCAATGAAAGGACGCCCCCTATAGAGGGCAGCACCAATGAAAGGACGCCCCCTATAGAGGGCAGCACCAATGTAAGAACGCCCCCTATAGAGGGCAGCACCAATGAAAGGACGCCCCCTATAGAGGGCAGCACCAATGAAAGGACGCCCCCTATAGAGGGCAGCACCAATGTAAGAACGCCCCCTATAGAGGGCAGCACCAATGAAAGGACGCCCCCTATCGAGGGCAGCACCAATGTAAGGACGCCCCCTATAGAGGGCAGCACCAATGAAAGGACGCCCCCTATAGAGGGCAGCACCAATGATAGGACGCCCCCTATAGAGGGCAGCACCAATGTAAGGACGCCCCCTATAGAGGGCAGCACCAATGAAAGGACGCCCCCTATAGAGGGCAGCACCAATGAAAGGACGCCCCCTATAGAGGGCAGCACCAATGAAAGGACGCCCCCTATAGAGGGCAGCACCAATGTAAGGACGCCCCCTATAGAGGGCAGCACCAATGAAAGGACGCCCCCTATAGAGGGCAGCACCAATGAAAGGACGCCCCCTTTAGAGGGCACCACCAATGAAAGGACGCCCCCTATAGAGGGCAGCACCAATGAAAGGACGCCCCTATAGAGGGCAGCACCAATGAAAGGACGCCCCCTATAGAGGGCAGCACCAATGAAAGGACGCCCCCTATAGAGGGCAGCACCAATGTAAGGACGCCCCCTATAGAGGGCAGCACCAATGAAAGGACGCCCCTATAGAGGGCAGCACCAATGAAAGGACGCCCCCTTTAGAGGGCACCACCAATGAAAGGACGACCCCTATAGAGGGCAGCACCAATGAAAAGACGCCCCCTATAGAGGGCAGCACCAATGAAACAACGCCCCCTATAGAGGGCAGCACCAATGAAAAGACGCCCCCCTATAGAGGGCAGCAACAAGGCTGCTCCAATACGCACAACTCTAAAGAAAGTCGTACAGCCATATCCTGGTCTATGGAAGGCAGTACGCAGTCGAAATACTCCCTGTAGTAGCAGTGCCGAGAGCCACCTGTGGCAGTGCCAAGGACGTACCCACGCAACACGTCACTCACTGTCAAATTCGAAGTGACAGGACCGTCTATCTTCTCCCCCAACCCCCCTCCTCCTCCTCCTTTTATTGCCCCCGTCCCTAACCGTCTCAACCTCACTTTCTGCTCCTTGTCGATTTTCGTAATGACTTGAGACAGCTTTTTTCTTCCTTGCGCTCCTCTAGGTCGATCTATTTGGTCGACTTCGGGGTCCATGTGGCCGACTTCGGGTCTATGTGGTTGACTTCGGGTGCATGTGGTCGACTTCGGGTCCATGTGGTCGACTTCGGGTCTATGTGGTTGACTTCGGGTCCATGTGGTCGACTTCGGGTCCATGTGGTCGACTTCGGGTCCATGTGGTTGACTTCGGGTCCATGTGGTCGACTTCGGGTCCATGTGGTCGACTTCGGGTCTATGTGGTCGACTTCGGGTCTATGTGGTCGACTTCGGGTCCATGTGGTCGACTTCGGGTCTATGTGGTCGACTTCGGGTCCATGTGGTCGACTTCGGGTGCATGTGGTCGACTTGGGGGTCCTTGTGGTCGACTTCGGGGTCCTTGTGGTCGACTTTGGGTCCATGTGGTCGACTTCGGGTGCATGTGGTTGACTTCGGGTCCATGTGGTTGACTTCGGGTCCATGTGGTCGACTTCGGGTGCATGTGGTTGACTTCGGGTGCATGTGGTCGACTTCGGGGTCCATGTGGTCGACTTCGGGGTCCATGTGGTCGACTTCGGGTGCATGTGGTCGACTTCGGGTGCATGTGGTCGACTTCGGGTCCATGTGGTCGACTTCGGGTCCTTGTGGTCGTCTCCAGGTCCATGTGGTCGACTTTGGGTCCATGTGGTCGCCTCCAGGTCGAAGCTGGACACCCATATTTGAATCTATCGAATTCAAACGTCGTGTTCTGAGATCAACTTGTCTATCGCGTCTGGCCCAATACATGATAGACAAGTTTGTTATGATATTACCTATTACACAATAATATTACCTATTGGTACTATGTATATAGTAAAATCCACACTTTGCATTCTTGGAATTCAAAAGCCATAAATAATAAGAAATGAAACAGCTTAGCCATACACTTCACCTAATTTGCTCTAGGCCTTAATTAGCCTTTTTTAGGCCTAATTTTATACATGTATATATATAATGTACCAGGCCTAGGTATGGTTGGGTTGTCGCTTTCTTTTTTTTTTACAAATTTCAAAAAATCTTTACTTTACAAAATCTTTTCAAAATTAATAAAAAATAATAATAAAAAAAGGGGATTTTTTTCCTTAAGTGCAATAGGTTATGTGCTAACAGTTCTATCCATAGGGGAGGGGGTCATCTTGCGTCACACGTGTTTGCGTCACTTTGCGTCGTACGTGAAGGCGTCTTCTTGCGTCACACGTGTTTGCGTCACTTTGCGTCGTACGTGAAGGCGTCTTCTTGCGTCACACGTGTTTGCGTCACTTTGCGTCGTACGTGAAGGCGTCTTCTTGCGTCACACGTGTTTGCGTCACTTTGCGTCGTACGTGAAGGCGTCTTCTTGCGTCACACGTGTTTGCGTCACTTTGCGTCGTACGTGAAGGCGTCTTCTTGCGTCACACGTGTTTGCGTCACTTTGCGTCGTACGTGAAGGCGTCTTCTTGCGTCACACGTGTTTGCGTCACTTTGCGTCGTACGTGAAGGCGTCTTCTTGCGTCACACGTGTTTGCGTCACTTTGCGTCGTACGTGAAGGCGTCTTCTTGCGTCACACGTGTTTGCGTCACTTTGCGTCGTACGTGAAGGCGTCTTCTTGCGTCACACGTGTTTGCGTCATCTTGTGTTACACATTAGGACGTTACTTTGCGTCATATGTGGTTGCGTCACTTTGCGTCGTCCGTGAAGGCGTACTCCTTGCGTCACACGTGTTTGCGTCATCTTGCGTCACGCGTGTTGCTTCGAGTGCGTCAACGCCGTCTCGTCGAAGGGTAGAGAGCATGAACACGCTTATTTCTTCAACTCACTGCCTCCTTTAAGCGATCCTGCATGATACTACGATACACTATTATGTGGGTGCTTCTATACGGCGCCCATTACGAGAAATACAGTGGACATTACTTATGTGGGAGATATGTGACAAATTGGATCATTTTGGATTCCTCGTTTGATATATGAAGCAGTTTTTTTTTTTTTGCATTCTCTTCACTGATTATGTGTAGTGGTTTCATTTGTAGGAGGGCTTGCAGGTGTGTCAGGTGTGTTCATTGTCTGTCTGTGTGTCGCATTGCTGATATATATTACATATGTGAATTGTCCCCTCTTATATACCTGTCACCCTATTATATCTAAATTCTATTATAATATTCACATAGCATTTTTCTATCCTATGTCTTGTGGTATATGAAGCGACCCCTTAAGCTCTCTTCATATTTATAAACGACTCTCCCAAAAGCTAAGAATGTTGTTTGTTGTTAAAGATTCGCTACTTGGAACAAAAAGTTCCAAGTAGCACGGGCTATGGTGAGCCCGTAGCTAAGAATAATATACCTCCTTTCTCCCCTCCCTCCCTCCCTTCCTTCCCCTTTCCTCGTCATTCTTGCCCTTTCTCCCCCTTTCTTGCCCTCCTTCCTTCCCCTCCTCATTCGCCTATTTGCCTTTGACTCTGTCGCGTGAGTCAGGGCGATTAAATTATCCAAGTTGAAGGCAAATGCTCGAAAATCAATTGTAATCCCCTTTTCTCCATTCTGTGTTACGCCACGGAGCCCGAAATCATTGGTGTCAATTACAGCTGCTGGTGGTTTTGGGGGGGGGGGGGGGGTTGGGGGGGGGGGGGTTGGGGGGGGGGTTTGGGGGGGGGTTTGGGGGGGGGAGGTGGTGCATGTTCACCTTTGCCTTGTTGGGGCTGATTTGGTCTTCTGGTCTGGTGGCTGATTTGGTCTCTTGGTTTATGGTTGATATGGTCTTCTGCTCTGGGGCTGACTTGGTCTCTTAATGGTCTATGGTTGACCTGGTCTTCTGGTCTGGGGGCTGACTTCATCTTCTAGACCAGAACTCATCAAGAATTTAACAACCACTTACGAAATTCGCAAATCTTTCCTTAATTACCAAGGTTTGTATATATCAAACAGCTTATTAGTTAAGAAACCTCACAATCCAAGGTTATTATTGTTATAAGCAATCGCGTGGTGCTTCGGAGCTCTTAAACAGTTTAATAATTGTAAACCAAACCGCCATGATTGTGGAAAGATGTACAGGTTTCGTAAATGTTTGTGTAAAGGCTTGTTGAATCCCTGGTGCTGATGCTGATTTGGCATCTCATGAGCTCTTTTATCTCACGTCCTCAAAAAGAGATGCTCTTTAAATCATCTGTTGACTGCCTCTTCTGACTTAAGTCTCTCGTTTTCTCCATTAAATGTTTGTTGTGCCTTGTTTTCCGTTATTCGTTAGCTGAACTGCTGGTCGTGTGTGTGTGTGTGTGTGTGTGTGTGTGTGTGTGTGTGTGTGTGTGTGTGTGTGTGTGTGTGTGTGTGTGTGTGTGTGTGTGTGTGTGTGTGTGTGTGTGTGTGTGTGTGTGTGTACTCGCCTAGTTGTACTCACCTAGTTGTGTTTGCGGGGGTTGAGCTCTGGCTCTTTGGTCCCGCCTCTCAACCGTCAATCAACAGGTGAGTGTGTGTGTGTGTGTGTGTGTGTGTGTGTGTGTGTGTGTGTGTGTGTGTGTGTGTGTGTGTGTGCGTGCGTGCGTGCGTGTTCGTGGTGTACCGTTCGTGAGTCCTTTCCTTTTGACCGTGATCTGCCAAGTGGCATTCGTTCTCCTTGTCGTTATTTTCCTTGTATTCTTGGTGTCCTGTCAATCATTCGAGCATTGCCTGCAAGTTGCCTATCCATCATCTATCCGTCTCAGCCCGTCTCCTATCCGTCGTGCAGGGAGATTGATCTGTCAATCTGAGTAAAGAATCTCAAGGGCCATTACCCGGAAGCAAATAAAGCCATATGAGAATGATCTTGCAGTGCATTGCAGTGTATTTGGCATTAAGGAAGGAGCGTACGAAGTAGAGCGCGAATATCGGCTGGGTTCGTATCAAAGGCAGTTCGCTAATCAGTTTACGAAGCCTCTGAAAGGCTTCCGGTATGCGAAGAGCTGACGCAAACAGCTTGTGTAATCTGCATGTGGGTTGTGAAAATGAACTTGATATTAGTGGGTGGTGCTTGAAAGAGGACAGTTGTGGCATAAGGAATTCAGACTCCAAAACATTTCTGGCCGAGGTCTTTCTGGCCGAGGAGAGGTTGAGCGATATAGTTTCAGCGTTGAAGGCTTGATGGTGTAGAAGGATGGTGAATGATGGTGAGGGTTCGAGACCGTGCTGGTGCTGGAAGATGGTGACTCAAGAAGCTCCAAGAGCCGTGCGAGAGGAGTTGATTCCGAGACAAGAAGGGAACGAGATATCAGTGATCATTTTCAGAGTTCAGAGCCATCGGGGAGAGAGAGAGTGAGAGAGAGAGAGAGAGAGAGAGATAGAGAGAGAGAAGAGAGAGAGAGGAAGAGAGAAAGAGAGAGAGAGAGAGAGAGAGAGAGAGAGAGAGAGAGAGAGAGAGA